CAGCCCTGCTCCCCGCCGCCCACCACCTCCCAGCGCACGCCTCGCATTTGCTCTCCCCTCTCTCAATACGTTTTATTAAATTTTCTTTCATTTACCATTGCGAAAAAAGGAATGTCACGTGGGGGTGGGACTATCTACATTAGTGAGAGACTATTTCCTGTTTCCGGGCGCCTGTGAGTGTGGTCTGACTAGTCCCGTGAGTGTAGTGCATGTTAGAGCTGCGACACGAGGCAAGTTTAGCTCAGAACCAGCAATGCCACTGACCCTGCAAATACTCTGACAAGGTCCTAGAGTTCGAGTACGCATGCTGTTGGATTTTAGACACTAGCTATAGAGTTAGGTCGAATTCAATCGCTGTCTACCGGCTGCTCTGATCGCAAGTTTTCCATGGTACTCTTATAAACCGGCACAGCGCGTGATCTTTCCTTTCTCTTCTTTGTCATATCCTCTCCCATTGTACATACACGCTACCGCGAACACTGAAAATAGTTACTCAGACGTGAGTGAATTCAGTCAGACCATTCCTCCTTACCTTTAATTAATCTTACTCTCTTCATCATCCGGGCTTTCTCGACTTCCCGCTTCCGCTCCCTCCCCTCTCTAGGACCTTCCCCACCACCGCCTTGTCACGCCGCAGATACACCTCTGCCCCGTCCTCGTTCCCGCCACCTCCACCCGTCCCGCTCCTCACCGGCCACGGCCTCGCCCCAGCCCGTCCTCGCCGCCACCCTCGCCCTCGCAGCTCCGCGCGTGATAATTGTGCTAGATTACAATTTCTCTCCAACTTGAAATTCAATCAGACCACTTCCCCCTCTTTGATCTATTTTGGACTTCCATTTATCAAAGTGGCACTTCAGTGCTTGTCAGCGCGTTATCTGAATGATATAATATATACGGCCACTTCAAACACAAATACGGCTGCACTTCCCATTGAAGCACGTTTGCTCCGATACGCAAAGTATATAAATGTAGTTGTATGGGAAGAGGACAAATAAAATATACCGTGTTTTGTGTCGGTACGTAATAATGCTAATTTGAATGTAATCTTTGATTTAATGATGGCGCGCCTCCAATTGCAGCGTGAAGCTGGTTGCCTTGTCACTTGTCAGGCATGCGCTCGCGATGCTATCGACGCCGCCTCCGCCGCCGCCGCTGCCACCTCCTGTGCCGCCGCCACTGCCGCTACCGCAGCAGTTCCCGACATCATTCCAGCCATCGCTGCAGGCCGTGCCTTTCAGATTCTCCCCTCCCCTCTCGCCCTCCTCCATTATCTTAAGAGTATGTGTGTTTTCCCCTCCTAGGTGTATTCCGTCTTCTTTCACACCTTGGATCCTCCGCCGCTACAAATTACTCTGCCGCTTCCTTCCTCTTCAATTATCACTTCGTGTTGGATGCCCTGTCGGCACTATTTCTTCCGCCACCCCATTATCCGACAATTACCCTCCTCCTACTTTGTTATCACGTGTTCTTGTGATTTCTCTTCACTTTCAACCCTCTTTCTTTATTCCTTTCTTCGACACTCTTTCACAACTCCTCTTTCCGCGATTATCCTTTTCTTGCTTGGCGTTGTGGTCTTCTTCGTCTTCTTCAACGTGTTTCTGCACGGCGGCGATCCTCTACTCGTTTTACTCCTGCTTTCTCACTCCTAAGGAATGCCCCTTCGCTGTCACCTCCGCCGCCCCGCTTTCTTCCTTGCCACCCTTCTCAACACCCCCACTTCCTCGCAGGCCTCTGCTCTCCCCCTTCTCGGGCGTGGGTGCCACCTCGTGCTCCGCCTTCTATTTGCACTGCTGCTACTGCCCGGACCCGCCACCACCTCGCTCTGCCGCTGTACCAACGCAGAGCCGTGCGCTGGGCCTGCATCTTAGCAGGCGGAACGTCGCGTTGCGTCGTGTCGCAAGGGTTTCCTGCTTCTGGCCGGGTATATCGTATCAGATGCTGTACATCTGATGTAGATTCCTCTGTATTTAATGGACACAAGTTGTAGTAAACGAAAGAAAACTGTTTCAATGCTGTTATACGTTTTAAAGATATGCAGTTTGGTGACATTGAAGTAGCAACATTTTGGAGTTTTTCAATACAGTCAAACGTAGATTGGAACGCCCATATAAATGAACTAAATATGTTTACATTTACAAAGGCATTGAAAATACCATCTATTATATATCCAAGAATGTATTCAAATTTACGTAGAATACTTACGTCTATGTTCATATATTTTGCGAATATATTTTCCAACCTAAACATACTATTCTCAAGGAACTCATCGCATAAACCCCTGACTTTAAGATTGCAGAAAACGTGCACGAATACTTTTTCAGATTCATTTTGTAAGAAAATTACCATGCTCTAATACGATATTCTCAGTGTCGTTAAACTCAATTACCCACTCGATAAGGGGATGTGCGTAGAATGACGTAACAATAGCAACGATTCAAAAATAAATGATATAGATATGCATCAAAGGACCGCACCAATACTCTTCCGAGATGTTATTCTCTCATTATGTATGGCAAGCCTGTCTTCAAGACTCGTATGAGTGCGAATATCTTCATCACGAAGATGGATGAAGACATTGATGCCGTCATGCAATTGAACCGGTCTCCTGGTAGGTGGAGTGTATCGTCCGGACCGCTTTTGAGTAGGTTCATCGATTAAAAATAAAGATACATTCTCTACTGAATCATAGGTTGATGAATGAAAATGACTAAATTTCTTTTTATCCGTGAATGGTATCGCCTATTCCCGGATCGCAGCTTCCCAAAACATCTCGACTGAATCTCTAATGAATGCAACTGAAGAACGCCTTCGTGTAATTTCCATTAATGTTTGAACAGGACACATCTCTGAGTTAATGTATGCAACTCGATCTCACTATTTAAAAATGGAATTTTACGATAGAAATAGATTAGTTGTTCCGACTCTTTACATTTGAATTGAGTCAAAATTAATTACATGTAGGTATAATGTATTACTTTTCACATCAATGAAAATACACATTAAAAGGGTGCCTTACTCCGGGGATGCGCGTGCGGCATCCAGAGATTATGGAAAAGTGGTACTCAGCCCATTCGGTGCTATTCGCTTATGTCGTTGAGGTCGCTGAACACTGTTACTATACCTCGTTCGCAAATCGTCGAAACTTGCAAGAAAAACTCTCACTATAAAACAATGAATACAAAAATGAAATGAGCAGTGAATACGTGTTCTATCTCTCGCCAGCTCCCATTGTCAGGCGCCCTCCCCCTGCGCTCTCCCGCCTTCCCTCCCGCGCTGTTCGCGGCGCCGCACCTTCCGCCCACCACTTCGACCTCCCTGTCGGATTTGGAGCCGCGGATGGGCGCCGGCGAAATTTACAGCAGCCACCCTCGTCCCGCGCTCCCCCTCCCCCGCCGCCCCCGCCGCCGAGGGGCGCTTCTGGCGGCGCGCGCCGGCATTACGCCCGCGCTGACGTTTATGATTTCTAAATGCCATGCATGCATGTGGAGCAACGGAGGCACGCGGCGGGAAGAAAGCACCGCAGACCGTCTGTCCAGCCACGCCCCCCACACCCCCTTCTCTTCGTCCTCCTCCACCGCTTCCTCCCCCTCCTCTTCTCGTGCATCCCCGCTACATAATTCCTCATCTTAATCTTTCTTTCTGCAATCTCCTTTCCCCTCGTTTTCTTCCTCATATTTTCATTATCTGCCTCGTGTTACGACTCTTGCGCATCTTTTGTTAAGACCCTACATCAGTATGATACCATAATTTGTATGCACGTCTCAATCACGTCAGTCCTAAACATTCTGTCAAATATATTCACTTTCGCACTTTCCCCCTACCCTGCGGCGCCGAAATCGTATTCTAGATACCGTTCTGCATTCTTCCACTGCCTCCACTATTGCTTTGGTACCAATACGAATGTGAACTCCTCATCCGCCGCTACTTGTTCCGTGAGCATTTCTATTTCGCAGACGGCGAAAGAAAATGGATAATTGCAATACGTGTGGAATGCGATGAATAATGGGAAGTAAATGAAAACAAAATATGTACTACGGGTTAAGACTGAAGTAAATAGCTTAGCAATAGCTATTTACATTAATTACAAGCAGCTTAGCAAAAAAATTGCCCATTTGGTAGGCCAATTTGACACGCTTGCATGTTTCCATGTCTATGGCGAAGTTGTGGTTTTCGGCCTCCGCGATTAACTATAAACCTCCTTGAGTTGAGCCAACGCGAAATTCCCTATGTATTGTTTGCCGAAATACAGATACAGCTTATCTTGACTTACTTGCTGTGTTTAACGATTATTAAATTATTCTATACACACATTTCAACCACTGTTCCATTTCTTCATGCTCTAGCTCATTGTCCCCCAAAGGGAGGGGGGGAAACTCGCGTTTCTATCGAGATGACCCCCTTCCCTCGCCATCGCGGCATCATCTTCCTGCCCCTTGTCACGCCCCCGCCTGCACGCCTTGTTGCACCTCCCGCCTGCCGCAGACGCGTCGTGTTGGGATGGCGCGTGTTCCGGTGGCGATACTGCGGCGCGTGATTTATTAATAGGAGCTAGGGACGATGCTGCAAGCGGCCATCGGTGCGAGGAAGTGGGGGGGGGAGGCGTCAGGCGGCGTGGGCGAGGAGTGGAGGTAGACTTTTATTAGGATACCAGTAGCTGAGCCTAAGTGCTCTCGCTGGAATGGGGAGTGGTACAAAACTATTTGCACCAGTGGCATAAATTGCCAGGTGGTACTTACAGATACGAGGTCTATAACGATAATGAGTGCTATACTCATTACGTAGGCGAAGGTGGCTTACGCCTTTATGATCTCGCTTTTCTAGGCAGGTGACTGTACTGGTGATTTGCCAGGGCCTCCCAATGTATGAAAGATGGTTAGGATGGTCACGAGAACCACTGGAATGGAAGAATGATGTGAGAAATGAATAATCATCGATGGATTATTTAGATAAGATACTTGTTGTTTTTGACCACTTGTCAAAATATATTTTCCCTGACAACGACACGTCACGCCATTGTAATCCAAACCCCAATATAGGTTCTAGTGTGTGTGTAGCCAAGTATACTATTCATTTTTATTTCCCTATTTGTTTAGTAATACTATAATATTATGATATGGGACTCGTCTAACCTCAAACAATAGTATACTTACTGTCAAATGAAAAATATATGACACCTAAGAAAATTGCCTGAAGCCCACTGGAATAAAAAAAACACTGGATGCACCTTAAAATTTAGTTCGTATTGTAGCACAAATCACTCACGGTCATTGATAGTTTAGTATGTACTCTATTTTTACTACCGCCATTTCTACGTGGTGTCTGTAACGAATGCATAAGAGTTAATTGAGATGTGGCTGAATACTCTTATTCATTATGTGCCTTTATTGTTGTGCACGCAGGCAGCTCTGCATCACATCTGATGCCTCCGTTTCCTTCGGTAAAATTTCCTGAGAAAGTTTCCCGTTGGTTGCTCCAAGAGCGATGTACGCCAATTTGGACTTTCTCTTTCAGCACTTTATTACACAGACGTGTGTTGTATCTTTAGTCATCTTGATTAGCCAAATTTAACTTAGTTGGTATTTTTGACTTCACGGAGGATTTAATTTTGATCCAAGTGACGTTCAATGGATCTCATTGACATACACCAATGCACCTCGTCGATTTAAGGCTAATGTTTTAAAACGTCAATGAAATATGTTTAGAAAATAGTATATTTTACCTTTTAAAATTTTCATAATGCACGCAGTATATATTCGTAGATTAAATGCTTGATGCACGCCAAGTAACCGGTACGCTCACGCTAAAACCAAAACAAAACAAAGAAACGCTGACCTTATCGGCAAAAGGAAAAAAACTGAAATACGTAACACCAAGCGCGATTTTGCACCAAACGTATACTTAAGCCACATGTTACACCCACAATTCGCGGCGGCCATGACATATTTTTATACCAGTCGATGCGTTTACAGATATTGTGTGATCTACATATCTAAAAAAACTAAAAAGTATTTATGAGGTGTTTCTGCACCGAGCGACCGGGAAATGGCTCAGGGCATCAAATGATGTCACTACAGTCCCTCTGACCGGGAGGTCCTAGGTTCAAGTCCCGTTGGTGACAGAATTTTCGACACTAGCTTGTCAGTTCTGTCGCTGACTCGATGAGAATTCTATCGGTAGTTTTCCGTGGTTTCTCCGATCAATACTGGACGAGTGCAGGAGCAGTACCCTAACATGGACCGCGTGCAATCTTACCTTCCTCTTCCTTGTCATACTCACTACCACATATGACGGGAGAACGGTAGGGAGCTTGTATCTTGTCCCTGCTGGGGCGGTACCCAGTTGGTGGAAGATTCCTGTTCGGGGAATACCCTGCTAGCCGACGGTAGATCGGCGCCGGATCTCGCCACACAACGAGGGAAAAACTACCACTACCTCCCGAGCAAAAGCATGCACTACACTGACGGAACTAATGACCTTAGTAGTTGACCTTCCCAGAATCACTAACAATCAATCACTCATGCACCGAGCGATTCTACGTCTTGTGCTCTGCCAGCACGTGGTCGCGCTGCGCCGCAGCAGCGCTTGCCTCCCGGAGGCCCCAGCGCTGAGCCGCGCCGTCGCCCTCGTGGCCTGTCCGCAGGTGGCAACCTCACCTACAGCATCCCAGCGGGCGTGGCGGACGACCGCTTCACCGTGGACGCGCGAACGGGCGTGGTGTCGGTGCGCGCGCCGCTGGACCGCGAGACGGTGGA